AAAAATGAAACCTCAGGCCAATATGCTTGATGAACATAGATGCAAAAATCCTCAACAAAATACCAGCAGACCAAATCCAACAGGACACCAAAAAGCTAATCCATCATGATTGAGTAGGCTTTATCCCTGGGATGTAAGATTGCTTCAACATACAAAATCAATAAATGTGATTCATCACGTAAACAGAAGTAAAAACAAAAACCACATAATCATCTTAATAGAGGTAGAAAAAGCTTTTGATAATATTCAGCATTTTGTCAAGAGCTTTTGATAAAATTGAGCATCGCTTCATATTAAAAACCCTCAACCAACTAGGCATTGAAGAAACATACCTCAAAATAGTGAGCTAAGTATGGCAAACCCACAGCCAGCATCATACTGAACGGGCAAAAGTTGGAAACACTCCCCTTGAGAGCTTAAACAAGACAAGGATGCAAACTTACCACTCTTATTCATTCAACATAGTACTAAAAGTGGTAGCACGAGCTATCAGGCAAGTGAAAAAAATAAAAGGCATCCAAATACAAAGAGAGGAATTCAGACTATCTCTGTTTGTAGATGACATGACTTTTTACCTAGAAACTCTATAGCTTTGGCCCAAAAGCTCTTAGATCTGAAAAACAAATTCAGCATAATTTCTGGATACAAACAACATTTATATATGAAAATCAATAGCATTTCTATACACCAATAATTTTCAAGCTGAGTGCCGAATCAATAATGCAATTTCATTCACAATAGCCACAAAAAAAATAAAATACCTAGAAATACAGCTAATAAGGGAGGTGAAAGAACTCTGCAATGAGAACTGCAAAACACTGCTGAAAGAAATCAGAGATGACACAAACAAATGGGAAAACAATCCATGTTCATGGATAAGAAGAATCAGTATTGTTCAAATGGTCATACTACCCAATGCAATTTACAGATTCAATGCTATTCTTATCAAACTGCCAATGATATTCTTCACAGAATTAAAAAAAAAAACTAGTCTAAAATTCATATGAAACCAAAAAGGAGTCTGAATAGCCAAAGCAATCCCAAGCAAAAAGAACAAAGCTTGAGGCATCACATTATCCAATTTCAAACTATACTACAGGGTTACAGTAATCAAAACAGCATGGTACTGGTACAAAAATAGACACATGGACCAATGGAACAGAATAGAGAGTCCAGAAATAAAGCTGCACACCCACAACCATCTGATCTTTGACATCGACAAAATCAAGGAATGGAGAAAGGACTCCCTATTCAATAAATGGTGCTGGGATTACTGGCTAGCCATATGTAGAAGATAGAAAGTTGACCCCCTTCCTTACGCCATATACAAAAATCAACTCAAGATAGATTACTTAAATGTAATACCTAAAACTTTAAAAACTCTGGAAGAAAACCGAGAAGTACCATTCTAGACATAGGCCCTGGCAAAGAGCTTATGACTGCCAAAAGCAATTGCAACAAAAACAAAAATTGACAAGTGGGTCTAATTAAATGAAAGAGCTTCTGCACAGCAAAAGAAACTATCAACAGAGTAAATAGACAACCCATAGAATGGGAGAAAACATTTGCAATCTATGCATCTGAAAAAGGTCTAATCTTCAGAATCTATAAGGAACTTAAATTAACAAGCAAAAATAAAGAACTTCATTTAAAAATGGGCAAAGGACAAGAACAGATACTTAAAAAAAAAAAAAGGCATATATGCAGCCAATAAGCATATTGGCCCAGCTATTTAAAAAAATTTTGTAGGCTAGGTGAGGTGGCTCATGCCTGTAATCCCAGCACTTTGGGAGGCTGAGGCAGGTTGATCACCTGAGGTCAGGAGTGAGACCAGCCTGGCCAACATAGTGAAATCCCATCTCTACTAAAAAAATACAAAATTATCCAGGCGTGGTGATGTGCACCTGTAATCCCAGCTACTCAGGAGGCTGAGGCAGGAGAATTGCTTGAACACGGAAGGCGGAAGTTGCAGTGAGTCAAGATTACGCCACTGCACTCTAGCCTGGGTGACAGAGTGAGACTCTGTGTCAAAAATAAAAATAAGAAGAAAAAGAAGAAGAAATTATGGTTATTTCTATTGGCCCAAAATTTAGCATGAATTTATTTCTTTGAAAACTATGTTATGTCTTCTAATGTTCTTTCATTCAGTTCTCAATATTCAGCATAACTGTCTGGCTCTAAATTCTGGTGGCATGTCTTTAGTAAAGTATGAACTACCCTGTGTTTCATGTTTCCCATCCACACATAATGTACTGGTTGTGTCTCAAGGACATATACAAATAAGCATTGCATCAAAAGTTATGGGTAGTAGGCCAAGTGTAATGATTCACACCTGTAATCCCAGCACTTTGAGAGGCCGAGGTGGACAGGCAACTCAAGTTCAGCAGTTCGAGAACAGCCTGGGAAACATAGTGAGACCCTGTCTCTATTAAAAATACAAAAATTAACCGTGCATGGTGGTGGGTGCCTGTAGTCCCAGCTACTCGGGAGGCTGAGACACAAAAATCTCTTGAGCCAGGAGGTGGAGGTTGCAGTGAGCTGAGATCACGCCACTGCCCTCCAGCCTGAGTGGGCAACAGAGCAAGACTGTGTCTCAAAAACAAACAAAACAAACAAACAAACAAAATCAAGTGTTAAAGTAGACAATTTAAAAGTGATTTTAGTCTTTAAGTAAAAGAAATTTAAAAACTGTAAACAAAAAATTATGAGTGATAAATGCAAAAGATATAAAACATTTATTACCTATACATGGTAATAAATTCAAACAATATTTGTATACAGGCAATATTTACATATTTAAAATGGTTAGTATTTGCTAGGATCTTATAGTTCCCCCCTACCAAGAAAGCTCTTGTTGAAATTTTTTATTTTTGTTTTAGACAGAGTCTCACTCTGTCACCCAGGCTAGAGTGCAGTCAAGCGATCTCTTCCCTGGTTCAAGTGATTCTCCTGCCTCAGCCTCCCGAGTAGCTGGGACTACAGGCACCCACCACCGCGCCTGTCTTTTTTGTATTTTCAGTAGAGATGGCATTTCACCATGTTAGCCAGGATGGTCTTCATCTCCCAACTTCGTGATCTTTCCGCCTTGGACTCCCAAAGTGCTGGGATTACAGGGATGAGCCACCACGCCCGGCCAGTTTCTTGTTTTTGACATGTACCCTGGATGATGCTGATCAGTAACCAAGGTGGATGTCTCTAGAGCCCCCTCCAGAGGTGACTTTTGAAGAAAGTCTTTGCCATTGTTGTCTCATCTAACATGTGGGTGAATGACTGGGCCTTTGAATACACTGACCAGATGGTTTGGTGTCACAAAACCTTCATCACTAACTTTATACAAATCTACTTTCACATGTAATATAATTGTGTAATTCTTTCTGTGATACCTGCTTTTATTTCTATGAAAATCTAGACAACAGACAGAACATCTAATTAGACTCACTGAATGCTCATGAGTTTGGGTCATGTATTTGGCTTTTGAAATTTCTCTTTTTAATTTTCACTTACAGGAATAGGGTGAGAGGAGCATAATTTCCTTTAGAACCTAATTTTAGACCTCCTAAGTTCAAGGCTTATCATTACCCAGTTTTTCAGGGATCAGTAATGATACAGTGCTTACATTACATAATATTCCCATATTGGAGGTAAAACATATGCTCCTTTCCTTGATGTTGTTCTATGTGGAGAGTATTTTACAAACATGTTAGTTTGATGAATAAAATATCTGTATCCCTATTCAAATTTTGCAAGAAGTTATTTGCAAATGGCTTCCAGTAATTTAAAGTAACTTAATATACTGTAAGCAAAAGCCCCCTTCTCCATTTGTCTTTCTTTTTTTTTAATTTTACTTTAGGCACGTACTATATCTGGCATTTCTCCCCATGTTATCCCTCCCCATCCTCCCCATCCCCCACTGTCTCTCCTGTACGCCCTGCCAACTGCCCACACTGTGTGATGCTCCTCTCCCTGAGTCCACGTGTTCTTACTGTTCAACACCCACCTATGAGTGAGAACATGTGGTGTTTGGCTTTCTGTTCTTGTATTAGTTTACTGGGAATGATGGTTTCCAGATTGATCCAAGTCCCTACAAAGGACAGGGACTCATCATTTTTTATGGCTGCATAATATTCCATGGTGTATATGTACCACATTTTCTTTGTCCAGTCTATCATTGATGGGCATTTGGGTTGGCTCCAGGTCTTTGCTATTGTACACAGGGCTGCAATGAACATACATGTGCATATGTCTTTATAGTAGAATGATTTATAGTTATTTGGGTATATACCCAGTAATGGGATTGCAGGGTCAAATGGAATTTCTATTTCTAGATCCTTGAGGAAGTGCCACACTGTCTTCCACAATGGTTGTACTAATTTACACTCCCACAAACAGTGTAAAAGTGTTCCTATTTCTCCACATCCTCTCCAGCATCTGTTGTCTCTAGATTTTTTAATGATCACCATTCTAACTGGTATGAGATGGTATCTCAATGTGTTTTTGATTTGCATTTCTCTAATGACCAGTGATGATGAGCATTTTTTAATATGTTTGTTGTCCTCATATATGTCTTCTTTTGAAAAGTGTCTGTTCATATCCTTTGCCCACGTTTGAATGGGGTTGTTTGTTTTTTTCTTGTATATCTGTTTTAGTTCTTTTTAGATTCTGGATATTAGCCCTTTTTCAGATGGGTAGTTTGCAAAAATTTTTTCCCATTCTGTTGGTTGCCGGTTCACTCTAATGACAGTTTATTTTCTGTACAGAAGCTCTGAATTTTAGTTAGATCCCATTTGTCTATCTTGGCTTTTATTGCCATTGCTTTTGGTGTTTTATTTATGAAGTCCTTGCCTATGCCTATGTCCTGGATGCTTTTCTCTATGTTTTCTTTTAGTGTTTTTATGGTGTTAGGTTTTATGTTTAAATCTTTAATCCATCTGGAGTTAATTTTAGTGTAAGGTTACAGGTAGGGGTCCAGTTTCTGCTTTCTGCACATTGCTGGCCAGTTTAAAAATATGGAACGCTTCACGAATTTGCCTGTCATCCTTGTGCAGGGGCCATGCTAATCTCTGTATTGTTACAATTTTTGTATATGTGCTGCCATAGTGAGCACCATTTGTCTTCTTAAGTGAGAGAATTATCACCCAGAGATTGCATTCGTGTGACTGTTGAAAACCTTTCCTACATCTCCAGAAAGACCAAGGGCTACTGATACATTTTATCCTTGGTCCAAGGGACCTCAGGGGATGCATTTGCCTTTCTAGTGTAACATAAATGTCAGGAAAGTGTGTCTGAATGGGTTGCAGGGAACAGTTCTCAGCTACTCCAACTTTCCTTACTTCCAGTCTGGGAAGATGGGAAGGGGCCTCCAACTTTCCTTACTTCCAGTCTGGGAAGATGGGAAGGGGCCAATCTTGCACAAGGTGCACGGAGATGCCCATGGCAACAGCAGAGGAGTGGTGCTTGAGAGACACAAAAGACTGCACAGCTTGGGTTTGGGTCCTGGTCCCATCACATACTGTGTGCTCCTGGGCAAGTTAGCTAACCTTTTGGTGCACACACTGATCTGTAAAATATGCATGATGGTGATACAGCATCAGCGTCCACAGGGGTGCTGTGTGGGAATGTGCATAAAGCTCAACGCTCAGTAGCAGTCGGCAGTCACTTTTCTTATTGCACCTGGAGCTGTAGACCCTCCTGTTTCCCAGTGGCCCATATAAGTGTTCAGCCATGGTGTTTTTACAATGTACAAATAAGTTGGATTTCTTTTTTTTGAGACAGGCTTTTACTCTGTTGCCCAGACTGGAATACAGTTGCACAATCACAGCTCACAAACTCCTGGACTCAAGCAATTGACATGGTCTACTCAGATTTCACCAGTTTCCACATAGGCTCATTTTTTGTGTGCATGTTTTTGTGCACAGTTCTAGAACATTGTATCGTATGCATGGAGTTTAGTATAGACACTACCACAATCAAGATACGGAACTGTACCCTCACCATCAGGAACGCCCTCTCCATGTTGTCTAGGGTTTTTTTTTTTTTTTTTTTTTTTTTCGGTGGAGTTTCACTCTTATTGCCTAGGCTGGAGTGCAAGGGTGAGATCTCGGCTCACTGCAACCTCCGCCTCCTGAATTCAAGCAATTCTCCTGCGTCAGCCTCCTGAGTAGCTGGGTTTACAGGCATGCGCTACCATGTCCAACTAACTTTGTATTTTTAGTAGAGATGGGGTTTCTCCATGTTGGTTAGGCTGGTCTCAAACTCCAGACCTCAGGTGATCCACCCGCCTCGGCCTCCCAAAGTGCTGGGATTACAGGAGTGAGCCACTGCACCCAGCCCTTGTCTAGGTTTTAATTTCCTCTTCACCTGTCTGACTTCTCCAGCAGGTGGTCAGCCTGCTCAGAGCAGGAGCCTACTAAGAGCAGGATTCTGCTCACTTCTGAACCTTCTAGTACACAAAGCAGGTGCTCAGAAAATAGGAGTTAAAGAATGAGGGACTGAATCCAGAAGTCTTTCCAGAATGACCTGCGCATGCCCACCCTGTGCTGTGGGGGCTTCCGGGAGAGTGACATGTGATTTCCTGCCCTGTGGTGGTGACTGAGGTCCTGGGCCTCTTGCAGCGAGGAGACTGCATTTCCCAGCCTGGGACTTCCAGCGGCAAACAGGTGGGACCAAAGTCCACGGTGCAAGACAAGCCATTTTCCACCTCTCATGTTTGGTTTTAGAAAACTCATTTTGGGCATCTTATATGGAACACAGTTGGGGTTCCTGAGATCTTCACTGCCGCCTCCCCATCCTGACTTCACTCAGAGCCGGACACCGGCCCCAGGAAAGTCCAAAGCCATTTCTGCCAGCACGGATAAAAAGCTAGTGAGGAAAAGACACTAGCTGAGGTGCTTCTCAAGCAATTTTGTGGGGTCTTTTTTTTTTCCTTTTTTTCTTTTTTTTGGTCCCCTTTATCCAAGGAGTCTTGACTTTTACTATGTATTGTTCAAACTGAAAAGAGACTTTGTACTTGATCTCAAATGTCATGAAGTAGTTGAAATAAGTTAGATTTCTAGTTAAATTAAGAGTTGCTTCAAGTTCTTTTTTCTTTTTTTCAAAAAAAAAAGAAAGAAAAAGAAAGAAAAAAATAAAAAAATAAAAATAAAAAGAATGAAGGAGAGGAAGAAAGAGGAAGAGGAAGAGGGAGAGAGAACAAAAGTGTTGCTTTATTGCCGAGGCTAGAATGCAGTCTAAAAATGGGTACTGAAAACCTCTTTTATACCAATAATTGTGCTTAATAATGGAGACAGGAAAAAATGAGGGAAGAAAATAACAAACAAGCAGCCAACCGATATTTCATTTAAACCTGTAGACAGATGTGATGTGGTGCTGATAAGAGTGTATATTTTGTGTATTTAAAGTGGAGAGTTCTATAAATGTTTATAAAGTTTACTTGTTCCGGATCTGAGTTCAAGTTCTGTATATCCTTGTTAATTTTCTGTCTCGTTGATTTGTCTAATATTGATGTTGAAGTCTCCCACTATTATTGTGTGGGAGTCTAAGTCTCTTTATAAGTCTTGTGTATCTGGGTGTTCCTGTATTGTGTGCGTATATACTTACGATCGTTACCTCTTCTTGTTGCATTGATCCTTTTACCGTTATGTAAGGTCCTTCTTTGCCTCTTTTGATCTTTGTTGCTTTAAAGTCTATTTTATCAGAGGAGAGAATTGCAACTCCTGCTTTTTATTTATTTATTTATTTTTGCTCTCCATTTGGTTGGTAAATCTTTCTCCATCCCTTTGTTTTGAGTCTTTGTGAATCCTTGCATGTGAGATGGGTCTGGATGCAGCATACCGATGGGTTTTGGCTGTGTCTTTTGATTGGGGGATGTAGTCGATATAAATTTAGGATTAATAATAATATATGTGAGTTTAATACTGCCATTTAATGTTAGCTGGCTGTTTTGCCCATTTGTTGGTGTAAATTCTTCATTATGTTGATGCTCTTTACTTTTTGGTGTATTTTTGGAAAGGCTGATAGTGGTTGCTCCTTTCTATGTGTAGCAGTTCTTTCAGAAGCTCTTGTAAAGCAGGCCTGGTGGTGATGAAATCTCTGAGTGCTTGCTTGTTCACAAAAGATTTTATTTTTCCACGGCTTATGAAGCTTAGTTTGGCTGGATATGAAATTCTGGGTTGAAATCTCTTTCCTTTAAGGATGTTGAATATTGGCCCCCACTCTCTTCTGGCTTGTAGGGTTTCTGCTGAGAGATCTGCTGTGAGTCTGATAGACTTCCTTTTACGGGTAACCTGACCTTTCTCTCTGGCTGCCCTCAGTATTTTCTCCTTCATTTCAACCCTGGTGAATCTGACGATTATGCGCCTTGAGAATGGTCTTCTTGAGGAATATCTTTGTGGTTTTCTCTGTATTACCTGGAGTTGAATATTGTCCTGCCTTGCTAGGTTGGGAAAGTTTTCCTGAATAATATCCTGAAGAATATTTTCCAGCTTGGATTCATTCTCTTCATCACATTCAGGTACACCTATCAAATGTAGAGTAGGTCTTTTCACATAGTCTCACATTTCTTGGAGATTTTGCTCGTTCCTTTTTATCCTTTTTTCTCTAATCTTGTCTTCTCATTTTATTTCATTAAATTGGTCTTCGACCTCTGATATCCTTTCTTCTGCTTGATCAATTCGGCTGTTAAAACTTGTGCATACTTTGCAAAGTTTTCGTGTTGTGTTTTTCAGCTCCATTAACTCACTTATATTCCTCTCTAAATTGTCTATTCTTGTTAGCATTTCATCAAACTTTTTCTCAAAGTTCTTAGTTTCTTTGCATTGGGTTAGAACAAGTTCTTTTAACTCACAGAAGTTTCTTATCATACCCCTTTTGAAGCCTGCTTCTGTTAATGGAACACACTCATTCTCCATCAGGCCTTGTTCTGTTGCTGATGAGGAACTGTGATCCCCTGTAGAGGGAGAGACGTTCTGATTTTGGGTATTCTCAGCCTTTTTAGGGTGGTTTCTTCCCTTCATTATAAATTTATCCATCTGTTGTCTTTGTAATTACTGCCTTTCTAATTAGGTTTCTGAGTGGACGTCCAACTTGTTGATTCCCAGCGCTGGAATCTGAGCAACCCACTGCGCCGGCCAAAACAGCAGTGTTAAGATTGATGGTGCTTTTCTGACTCTGCACCAAGAACCGCCGCACCAAGGCAGTGGCAAAACTGCCTTGCCAGCCACAATAGTCACGCTGGCAACCCGTGGGGCTTCTTCGCTGGGAATCTCCTGGTCCATGAGCAAGAAAAATTCGTCTGAAAGTGTGGCATCCTCTTGTTCTCTGAGCTTTCACTGGGAGCTACAATCCCAAGCTGCTAGTGATCAGCCATCTTGGATCTCTCTCTCTGTAGGGTCTTTTTACAGAATCAATCTGTGCTCACCATTTCCCAAGCAAATTGTTCAGACTGGAGAAGCCCCTTTCTTTTCACAACCATCTCCAGCTACACATTTTTAAGGTGTCTTTGGATTTTTATCCTGTCTGGGTACATAGAAGAGTTTAAAAAACAGACCCATTGGAGGAACATTGCTTTTTGAAGCTTTTGTTTTACTCTTGCTCATTTGTTTCTCCTTGTGTTTAACTGTTTGCAAACTTGTGCAGTTACTGGGAGAAGCTTTCTGAGCACAGAGAATGTAGGCGAGATTAATTTTGTTCCCCAAACAAATCTATTCCTGTGACAAAAAACAATTTAACTTAGGCTTATAAGTGTTTGGGCCTGGTGCGGTGGCTCACGCCTGTAATCCCAGCACTTTGGGACTCTGAGGCAGGCAGATCATGAGGTCAAGGAATGGAGACCATCCTGGCCAACATGGTGAAACCCCATCTCTACTAAAAATACAAAAATTAGCTGGGCATGGTGGTGTGCACCTGTAGTCTCAGCTACTTGGGAGTCTAAGGCAGGAGAATCGTTTGAACCCAGGAGACAGAGATTGCAGTGAGTGGAGATCGTACCACTGCACTCCAGCCTGGGTGACAGTGAGGCTCTCTCTAAAACAAAAAAAAGAAAAAACAGTGTTTGGTGAATAAAATTAATTCCATCAACTAAATAAAATGCATTTTGTCCAATACATA